TTCTATTTATAGTAGAGACGGGGTCTCGTTCTTGCTCAGGCTGGTTTCGAACTCCTAAGCTCAAAGGATCCGCTCGTCTGGGCCTCCCAGAGAGCTAGGATTACAGGTGTGAGCCACCTCGCCTGGCCCCAATTTACATTTCTAAAAAGTCACCCTGATCATAGAAAAGGGAATCAAAACTGCACAGCAGGGGCAAGACGGGGAAGGGCGAAGACCGGTGAAGAGGCGGCTACAGTTGTTCAGGTGACAGATGACAGACTGGGGCAATGGCAGTAGAGGCGGGGAGGTGTGGATGGGCTTGGGCCATATTTTACAGGTAGTAACCACAGGAACCTTGTAGATTGCATGTGGGGGGTAAGAGGAAAGGGGGAAATGAAGGCTGATGCCTCACTCTGAAGCCTTCACAGACGTGCAAAGCAATTCTGACACTAACTATGTGGAGTTCGGTCAAATTTTACAGGTTAGGGGCACAGCCCTCCACAGATTCCTTCACTTCAGACACCAGCTGGCTACAGATTTGAGGGTTCTCTCTACCCTTCAGTCTGGGGAGTTTGCTAGAACAACTCACAGAGCTCAGGAAAACACACCATACTATATGATTACAGTTTATTATAAAGGACATAAGTCAGGACCAGCCAAATGAAGAGAGGCACAGGGTGAGGTGCCTCACCTGTGGGCAGGTGAGGTCTGAAAGTGTCTCAGACATGAAGCTTCTGTGTCCCCAGGACACATCACCCTCTCGACACATCCGTGTGTGTCACCAACCAGGGAAGCTGACCCAAGCTCTGGGGGCTGGAGTTTTTACTGGGATTTCGCCACATTGGATGACTGACTGAATCATCATCCACCACTGAACTTGATTCCAGCTCCTTTCCCCTCCCTGGCGGTTGGGCTGATATCACCTAGCTCAAAGCCGCAATATTCTCTAATCACAAAGTTGGTCTTTCTGTCCTGGCCAGCCTCTGTCCCGAGTCCTTCATTCACATAAACTCAGGTGTGGTCAGAGGGACCCACCATGAATAACAAAGGAATATCACTGAAGGAATTCCAAGGGTTTGAAGTTTGGAGGCTGGGATCAGGAGTGTGGTTTGGGATGTGTGATATTTGGATTACCTCTTAGCCACACAGAGATGCCAAGTAGACAGTGGGTGGGTGAGACTGGCCTCAGAATGAGACCTGGGCTGCTGATACACATCTGAGAGCCATCAGCATGTTCCTGGTATTCAGAACCAGTAGACAAGATGAGATCACTTAGCAAGTTGGCTTTAAAAGAGAAGATGGGCCTGGCGTGGTGGCTCACGCCTATAATCCTAGCACTCTGGGAGGAGGCCAGGAGTTCAAGACCAGCCTGAGCAAGAGCAAGACCTATCTCTACAAAATAAAAATAGAAAAAAAATGAACCAGGTGTATTGGTGCATGCCTACAGTCCCAGCTATTTGGAGGGCGGAGGCAGGAGGAATGCTTCAGCCTAGGAGGCTGAGATTGCAGTGTGCTGTGATCACACCACTGCCATCCAGCCCAGGCAACAGAGTGAAACTCTGTCAAAAAAAAAAACAGAGAGAGAAGATGGTCCTGGTCTAAGCCCCAGCACAAACCAACACTTGGAATTATTACTACCCACAACTTTGCTTTTCCTACTCTTTCATCTTTATCTGCTCAGATAGCAAAAAAGTGAAAGTCTGTACCAATTGAGACAAATCTCATTTTTTTGTATACATAAACCTCCTCAAAAACCATGTTACGGGAGCAGAACAGGGAGGTTCCCACAGCGGTATCAGAGTCAAGCTGCATGCTGTTCATCATCATCTAAAACAGACAGTAATACAGGAAAAACAAAGCAATAAGCCAGAACATTTGAACTAACTCTTGGGTTATACAAAGATATGTTCTTTTCACCAACATAAAACTATAAAAGGATAAAAATGATGTGCTTATCATTTCAACAGCAGTTTCCTCTTATTCATAATGTTCACTTTCCATACAGTAACTGTAACAAAAATGATAGTTTGAACTTTAAAAAAAAAGAAAAACTTTGGGTCCATTGGTACACACCTGTAGTCCCAGCTACTTGGGAGGCTGAGACAGGAGGATCACTTGAACCCAGGAGTTCAAGTCCAGCCTGGTGACACAGGGAGACCTCATTTCTAAAAAAAAACACATACAAACAAAAAGCTTGTTCATTCCTTATTGAAAACAAAATATGCTTATTCAAATTCTAAGGGTTAATGTAAAATTACTTGAAGTCCAATGAATGAACTATTCTAAAGAGCATTGCCACTTCAGACAAAGATTAGTAGGGTGATATTCAATAAGATCTTCATCCAAAACCATCTCGGGAGTGATAATAATATTTAATAACATAATAAAAAGAGCAATTAAGGGAGTTCTTATTCTATGCCAACCCTCAACTACGTCCTTCACGGACATTTTTATATACAATAATATTTACTGAATACATACATTTAGTTTTTGTTTAATAATAGGTGTGATATATATTAAACCGTAACACTGAGAAATAGAAATTATTACTATCCCCATTCCACAGGCAAGGAAACTGAGTCTTTTTTTTTATGTTTTTGTTTTTTTTTTTTTTTTTTTCACTGAGAAATAGAAATTATTACTATCCCCATTCCACAGGCAAGGAAACTGAGTCTTTGAGAGATAAAGGAACTTGCTTCTCTACAAGTCACGAGTTGTCTAACCCAGGAAACAAGGCCACCTAGTTAGTAAGCAACAGAGCCAGGATATTCACCCAGCTCTGTCTGCAGATGAAGCAGTATGAGGCCCAGCAGTTAAAGGAGAGGCAGTCATTGGTGCCCTTAGGCATATTTGGGATGCAGGATTGCTTCACTAATGGGGATTGTTTCTGCTAGAAGTGATGTAGTACCATGTGCAAATCCTACGGGTCCCTCTGCTGTCTCAGCCAGCAGGAGCCGGAAGAGGCAAGATGATCTTTCCGCAGCACCGACATGCTGCGGGGTTAAGCAAGTTCAGCAACGTAGTAATGCCTTTGGTTGCTCAACACCACGTTAATTTACTTTTAGGCGTTTCTTTTTTGTCCTCTTCCAGTCCCTGAGGCCTGTCTGGATTACAGACACCCTCCCTCCTCCATTCTTCTCCAGAAAATTGTCCCCGCAGTCTGCAAAGGGGCGAGGGAGCTGCCACCTGAGCTCAGGCCATCGAGGGTGTGCCAATTACCATTTCTCTGCCAAATGCCGAGATATCAGCGTGACGAGGCCTCAGGACATCAGATTATCAGTAATAACCATCATTTGTTCATGATTCACTATTTATTACATAATATAAATATAAATTGTATTTTATTATTATAAATTATTAATCATTAACTATAGTAATATGAGCCATTTATTAAGTGCCTTCTATGCATTGGGCACTTTATAAATATTTTCGTTTAATGTTCATAGTGCTCAGCACAGTAGACATTTAATATTATAACACCCCAATAGAGACTCAGAAGATTTAAAACTTGCCCAACGTCACAGAGTGGCAGAACTGGGATTGGACCCAGGTCTCTGGGACTCCGAAATGCATGTACTTCCTCATATAAATTCTGTGTCTCATACACTGGAGGGCAACCCCTTAGCTCCAGGCAGAGGACAGAGGTATCTGCTTATCATGGACATCGGTTTCTGCCATCTGCAGTCCCTGCCTAGCTGCAGATAATTAAAATCTCCCACCTTTTATGAAACTGAATATATTAACATTATTCGAGCAGCCATTACTACTCAGTGCCCTGATACAGCAAGAACCTCAGGGCTTATTGACATGCATGGAATTCTTTGCCTCCGTGCTAAATGGTGCTACATTGACATGCTTTTGTAAATTCAATTTTTTAAAATTCACGTGTTTGTTTTTGTAATTTTTCTGCCTCCTACCTCACGTTAGGCTGTAAGCTATCACGCATATTTTGCTGATGTCCTTATGCCTGCTTCTAGGGCAACACTATTGACCTTTGGGCTGAATACTTGTTTGCTTTGGGGGGGGTGAAGGCGGGTATCTGTGCATTATAGGACATTGATCAGCATCCCTGGCCTCTGCCTTTTAGGTGCCAGTAGCAACTCATCCTTCTTCTACAGTCATGCCTATCAAAGAGTCTCCAGACATTGCCAAATGTCCCCCATGGGAGAGGGGCAAAATCACCTCCAGTTAAGAACAACTGTTCTAGGTGAACACACACACGTATATACACATTGCTAATTTGTCACTTCCTATGGTACTGCTTAAAAAAGGAAACAGGGGGTGGGCGCAGTGGCTCAGGCCTATAATCCTAGCACTCTGTGAGGCCAAGCCGGGAGAATCACTTGAGGTCAGGAGTTTGAGACCAGCCTGAGCAAGAGCAAGACCCTGACTCTACTAAAAGTAGAAAAAAATTAGTTGGGTGTAGTGGTGCATACCTGTAGTTCCAGCCACTCAGGAGGCTGAGGCAGGGGGATCACTTGAGCCCAGGAGTTTGAGGTTGCAGTGAGCTACGATGATGCCACTGCACTCTAGCCTGGGCAACAAAGTGAGATCCTGTCTCAAAAAAAAAAAATTAAGTAAACTCAGAGTAATACTATGAGGAAACCTCAGTACTCCAAATGGGCTTTAGCCCATAATGTCTCTGACATATTTCTGTTGCTCAAAGGTTTATTTTATTTTATATACATTTATATTTCCAGCATATTCTGAAGAGGTGAGGTCTTCAGATAAGTGACCATATACAACTTACTACATATGCTACTACTGTGAGCCCCTACGCTCCTATCGCGTTACTCAAATAGCCAGTCTGCTAAGCAAAATATGCCCTATAACTCTCCACTTTTCCTACAACAGATAAATTCTATAACGTTTCCATTTTCCTTGAGTCAATACTTCCATCAATTAAAGAAATTGGTTAAAATATCACTATAAAGTTGATGATTCCTTCTCATGTATTCTGAGAACTACATGATATAAAACTTCATTGATTCTTCTTTGCACAGGTATCTCTACCTGTTCAAATTCTGGCTCTCAGATAGGCTTGCTCCGAGAATGTCTGTGGGGCGGACCACGTGGTCGTCTGCATCATTTAGAAACTTGTTGCCAATGTGCATGTTCAGCTACTGATAATGGCATTCTGGAAGAATCGATTTCTCTCTCATAAGAATTTGGTCAATTTTTCCTGCTTTTAAGATATCATCTTGTCAAAAAATGAAACCACTGGGAGTCATTCATATATGCAGTTGTTTGCACTATTTGGTTGTCTGGGGTTGCTGATGGGAGAAGTAAATCCTTATGGATGATACTGAGGGAATGGCTGAGTCACAGGGTGCCTGCATCTTCAACTTTGAGATACGATTCCAATTTGTTCTCAAAATGGCTAAACCAATTAAAAATTCCACCAGCAGTATATTAAAGGTATAGCTACTTCTTACACAAAAGGGAGTTTAATTATACTAATAATATTTAGAAATATATATGCAGTACATTTGCATTATTACAATCCATGCAGGAATTTTACCTTTCAGAAGAATTTGTTGACAGATAGATATGCTTCCACTTGCTCTCTGACCACCCTGCTGAGGAGATACGAGGTCTGTAGAATGATTGTGCAAGGACAAACAGGAAGCTGTACTATGCCTGATCTGAACCTCAACCTTCTGTCTGAGTAGATTCCAAATGAACTCTCTTTCTTGTAGTTTTTCACTGCTGAAGTTGGAAAGTGACTTTGATGAGATTAAATATTGAATTTTTCCCAGCTCCAAAAATCATTGATTTGAGTCATGAGGACACTGTGGTAGAAACGATTGTAGAAACATCGAAGATGAGTGACCCCGCCATAGTATGGAGTTGCTGTGGGCAGTGGCTGCCCAGTGGGAACTCTGTTCCCAGCCCCAGTTTCTAGGCAGAACTAGTTCTCACCAAGGAAATGATCCTGTGGTGCTATCTCCTGCAGGCCAAAGTGATTAAGAAACGTGTGTGTCTTCCACATAATCTCTCTCCCTGACCCACCAGCTAAATGAAAAGAATTCTGGGGACCTCATAGAGGGCAGAGCCACAAGATGGAAGGAGCCTGGGCTCTGAGTAGCCACATCAAATGCTTTCCAACCAGCTTGGGGGCTGGGAACCTGGGGGAGAAAAACATACTTATATTGTGTTACTTCACAGAGAAGTGACGTTAACCTGCTAGGGCAGCTATAATAATGTCACCCAAATTAATACAGAAAACACATTCAGCTAAAATAGACTTTAATATACATTTGGAAAAATTTGAATTCTTCCCTTCCATAAAGAACTGCACACGGTTGCAGTTCTCAAGTTCACAGATGCAAGATCCTAGGGCCAACTGTCTTCAAAAGCCAACATCTTTGAATTTGCTTTTAACCCCTCCTTGGACCTAAGGCTTTTGAGCCACGAGGGCAGTAAAGTCACTGGCCCAGTACTCGATACTTGCTGGCATCCATTAAATGTCAATTTCCCTCATGGCCTCAGTTTTTAATCTCTAACTGAACAGAGAAATGCTACTCAGACACTCCACATCTATTTCTAATCAAATAGAAGGAACATAGCCACCAACCACTTGATCAGAAGTAACAACAGAAAGGGGAAGCCTGCATGCAGAGAGGGGCATGGAAACCTTTCCTTGCCACAACTAGGCAGAAACACCATCTGCTCTTGCGTGGTGCTGCTGTTGTCCTTAGGGTATGGTTACTGTTAGACCTTGATATTGTTTTGCTCTTTGTAGAAATCATTCTAAGGAAGTAAAGCCCAGCTCATAATATACTTTTATATTACCTTGTGAATTTTATTTTGTGCTCATCATCTTAAAAATAATTTTGATTCTGGAGCAGATATCACCAGGAAAAAAATAATAATAATTTTGATGATTTTCCAATTTTTCCAGGAGCAATGCTTATAAAGATACCACATTAACCGCCTACTTTCCCTTTCATTTGAAGCCTTTATTTCTGACCGACTTGTCAGCAAAATAGAGTATTTTTTTTAATCTTTATCATTTTTTACTATATGCAAAACTAATGCATATACTTTTTAAAAGTGAATTAAATTGGGCCGGGCGTGGTGGCTCACGCCTGTAATCCTAGCTCTCTGGGAGGCCCAGACGAGCGGATCCTTTGAGCTCAGGAGTTCGAAACCAGCCTGAGCAAGAGCGAGACCCCGTCTCTACTATAAATAGAAAGAAATTAATTGGCCAAACAAATACATAGAAAAAATTAGCCGGGCATGGTGGCTCATGCCTGTAGTCCCAGCTACTTGGGAGGCTGAGGCAGCAGGATCGCTTGAGCCCAGGAGTTTGAGGTTGCTGTGAGCTAGGCTGACGCCACGGCACTCACTCTAGCCTGGGCAACAAAGTGAGACTCTGTCTCAAAAAAAAAAAAAAAAAAAGTGAATTAAATTGAAACAATAGAGAAATACAAAAGAAAGAATAGGGAAAATGGGGTCATGGTATACATCTAGTTTGGCAATTTAGTTTTTGGATTAAACTATTTATCTTAGGCATCTCTTCAGGTCTGTTGTTCCCATGGCAAGCACCCTCGATACATTTGAAGACCTCAGATCTGGCTTAAGAGATGGGAGAGATGTTAACTCCAACACCTCTTCGGCACTGACAGCTTCCTAATTCAAGCCCAGGTCTCGCAGTGTGGACATACACATCCAGGTCCAAGGAACTCAACTAGGCAGACGTATCCCAGAGAGGTGTGCGTTTTCCAAGCTACAAGCTGAGCTGGCTCTCCTACAGGGGCCTCTTTGTGGCAGGAATCTTTTAAGTTAATACTGCCAGGGAGAAGAATGCTGATGACTCGAGTCTGCTGGTGGCTGTCCACATGCAAAGAAGCCATCTGTCATGCAGCTTCTGCATGTGTCAAATACCAGAGTTATTAACCAAGGGGGCAGGACTGTGCCTCTGGTCACACGATAACCTTGCAGCTTCACGCCCAGCACAGGAAATGCTTAAATGGAAGTGACCCCTCCAGGAGGCTGAAATGCGATACAGTCTGCTGTCAGACCTCTATGTTCCCTGGGGGTGCCCACCTGCTTCCGCAGGATCTGTCTCTGAGCATTGGCCCTGATGGATGACACCCAGTGGCAGACTGCCTGTTTCAACAGTGACACTGTGTGGCAGGACCAGCAACAACAGCCAAAATAGGGATTTTCCAGTTTTCTCCTGGGGAGGTGAGAGTATCCAGGAATTAAGGTGTGTCCCTGAGGGAGCAGAGGCGTTATCACAGAAGAGAGGGCAGCAGAAAAAGACAGGCATACATTCTCACGGTAAATAGTATGGGAGAATGAAATGAGTTCAGTTAAATAATAAAATGAGTATGTGCCTAAAGCTGATCAGTATTGCTTCTGGATGAATAATGGAAGAAAAAAATTAAAAATTTTTTAAAAAATAAAAAAGCTGATGAATAATAATCATAATGAAGGCGGCTGCCTTTTGTCATGTACCCTCTGTGGCTCAGGCATATGAGGTGCTTTGCATATGCTTTGCTCATTTACCCTTCACAGCGAAACCTAAAAGGTATGCACTGAACTTCCTTATTTGAGGAAACTGAAGGTCAGAAATGTTAAGGAACTTGCCCAAGTTCCACTTGCCAAAATGCGGTAAAGTGGCTGTTCAAACTTAAAACTGTCTACTCCCAAATCCCTGTTATTGTCTTGCTTCCTGGGAATATATGGAAAATAAAAGGAATCATGCCCTTAGCAGGGAAGGGAAGAGTTAGTTGCTCATTGCGTTTGCCCATGTAAGTGTGAAGGGGTCAGGAAAGACCTAAGAGATTCCTCAGACCCAAGGAGAGCTTGCCTATGAAGTGAGAATCTCAGTTTCCAATGTCACCGTCTCCAGCCCAAATCTTACAAAACATCTACCCATTTTCACTTCCAATTTCTCGTTGTGTCTGGTAAAAATTGATGGCAAAGTGTATCAACAGACAGTATTCTTCTCATGTTAAATGTCACATTTATTTCCTGGGCACAATGCCCAACTCGGTTTAAGTTATCATCACTAATTAAGATAGAGCATCATAAAGTACAGTTGTTACATTAAATTGATGTGACCTATCCATCTGCTACTAGCACGAATGTCTGTGACAATAAAATCATCAGAGAGGAAACATTCCGGTGTTCTATTTCCTCCACTAACAGCATGACATAGTTCCATGCAAAGAAATCTCATCCTGACATTCAATCCTCCTCCTGCTTCTAACTCTGTGGTCTCCAGGAGCTTTGATGGGACTGAGGGCACGTTAATCTGGGATCATTTGGTTGTAAGGAAGAGAAACACATCAAACTAGTTCATGGGAAATTGTGGGTTTGCACTAAAATAATCTTTTCTGAATTTTCCTCCACAGGAACCTCATGGACTTGGAAAGTACCAAGTGTCCAAAAGTTATGTTACAAACAAACGGTTAATGAAACCAAACATCCCCGTGTAAAAGCTAATGTACAGCTGATGGGAATCAGCAGCTGGAAAGTGTGAGTAGAGGAGGAAGGAAGAGGACTGAGAATACACTTATACAAAATGGGGACAGAAGTGATACCATCAATAATTAATGGAATGAGAATAGTTAAAATGGTAACACTGAGGAACAAAAATGATGACATAACTGGAGAGGGAGGAGGGGGCTGGGAAGGCACATGGTGGTGTGTATTGGTTAGCTATTGCTGCATGACAAACAACCCCCAAAACGCAGTGGCTTAATGCAACAATTATTTATGATTACTCACCCATCTGCAGAGGTATTGGAATCCAGCTGATCTGGGATGGACCTGGCCAGATGGCTTTGCTTCTCTCTGCAGGTGGATAAGACAATGGGACAGTGTTGTCCTACATATTTTAGCCTTCTCCTGAGACCAGCAGGCTAGCCAGGTACTAGTAGAGTACAAGAGGGCAGACCCTACTACAGATGCACTTTTCTAATCCCTGCTTGCATCATGCCTGTGAACATCCCATTAGCCAAAGGATGTCACATGGCTGAACCCAAAGTCAGAATGGGGACACGCAAGTGGACAGAACTGCAAAGACACCTGGCAATGGGCCTGGAAATAGGGAGGGGTGACGTCTTGGAACCAATGGCAGCGGAAAAGGTGGGTGGTGAACTATATTCTCATCAACCAAAGTAGAAGCCAACAGATAATCCTCTATGGGATTGATGGTATAATGGTACAAGTTTATTATAGGTTATTAAGTACAAAACATCTGATTTCCTTAAGTACTAAGTTTGACAGTTGATATCTCTAACGTTTCACTTTGACACTTCTTGTTTTATTTTTATTGTGAAGGTACATCCTCAATCTTTTAAACACATGGTTTGGCTTGTGATTATCTGTCAAATTTTTTTAGAGCAATTTTTATGAAACTATGGATAAGTCAAAATTTTGAGTTATTTTTGAATATGAGTTCTTTTGTGCAACCAATGCAGTGCAGATAGCTTGAAATATCAACAAAGTTTTGGGGAAGGATGTGGCTAATGAATGCACAGTACATCGATGGTTTGAGAAATTCCATTCTGGTGATTTTAATCTCAAAGTGAGCCACGTGGGCAACCTGAGACCAAGGTGCATAATGATGAGCTGAAAGCTGTAGTGGAAGCAAATCCATCTCAACCTATATATGAATTATCAGCAAGGTTTGACCTTACTATTCCAACAGTATTGGACCATTTGATGCAAATCAGCAAGGTAAAGAAGCTGGATAGATGGGTAACACAGGAATTAAACGAGCATCAGAAGACAAATTATCTTGAAGCTTGCCTTTCTTTGCTGTCACAACATAAAGGCAAACCATTTCTTCACTGTATTGATATGTGTGATGAAAAATGGATTCTTTTTGGTAATCGCAAGTGTTCAGCATAGTGGTTGGATAAAGATGAAGTGCCGAAACATAGTCTAAAATGGAATATTCATCAAAAAGAGCAAATGGTGTCTGTTTGGTGGTGCAGCACTGGAATTATCCACTACAGCTTCATGAAATCTGGTCAATTGATTACAGTGGATGTTTACTACAACCAACTGGATGAAATGATGAGGATGCTTGCGATTAAGCAGCCGAGACTGGTCAATAGGGACAGGCCAATGCTCTTGCAAGACAACACTTGACCACATGTCTCACAAACAACGCTGCTCAAACTACAGAGGCTGGACTTGGAAACTCTCTGTCATCCACCGTTTTCACCAGACCTTGCACCGACTGTCTACCACTTCTCCCAGGCTTGGACCACTTCTTGCAAGGAAAAATATCCCATTCTCATCAAGGTGTGGAAAACACCTTTCACGATTTCATCGCCACTTGCTCTCCAGGCTTCTTTGCTGCTGCATAGGCAAGCTACTGTTAAGATGGCAAAACTGTGTCGATAGTTTAGGTGCGTACTTTGATTAATTATACTGCTTCTTGTCTGAGATATAACAAACTAAACTTTTGATTCGAACTTTTCATATTCAATGACCTAACATTTAGAGAAACAGATTGACACGCAAAGCACTAAAAATTGAAAGAGTTGTTTCCTTCTGAAGAGTAATCCTAAGAATAGAAAGGGGGAAGTTAAGGTTTATAAACCTTTTGTTGTTTCAAGTTTTTAACTGTACAAATTATTAAAGATATTTTTAATTAATTATAAATTTTAAGACAGACACTGTCCACTATGTAGAATGAATACAACAGATCAAAGACTTAAAAAATATAGTCTTCCCCCTCAAGGAGCTCACAGTCTTGTGAGGAAGATATACCATCGACAAATAGTGAAAACACTGTGCCCTGAGAGAACACAGTCCTGCAACAGTATGAGAAGGGAATTCAGTGCATCTTAGGGATTGGTCAAGGAAGACTTAACAGACGGGGACATTTTGAACCGAGTCTTAAAGTACAGGAGTCTGAGAACAGCCTCTCTCTCCTGCCCCAAATCTTTAGAAATGGAGAACCATTTGTTTAAGCCCATAGCTATGCAGGAGAGCAAAAGGCAGCACCTTTGCTGGGCGAGTAACTGTGGCGAATAGCTGAAATGCAAGGGCCTTAGATTGAAGAAAGACATTGGAGCCTGAAATGTGCTCAGAAAGCTATTGTGCTACCTGTGGGTATATACCCTGAAGCATTGAAAGCAGGGACTCAAATAGACACTTGGACCCCCGTGTTCACAGTAGCACTGTTTACAGGGAATTGGAGCAAATCAAGTCTCCGTCAACACAGGAATGGACAAACACAACATGGTATGTACATACAATGGAATATTATTCAACCTTAGAAAGGAAATTCTAACATGTGCTATAACATGGATGAACCTTGAGGACACAGTGCTGAGTGAAACGAGCCGGTCACAAAAGGACTAATACTGTAGGATTCCACTTATATGCGGTCCCTAGAGTAGTCAGGCTTATAACAACAGAAAGTAGGATGGCTGTTGCCAGGGGCTGGGAGGACGGAGGAAAGGGAAGTTGTTGTTCAGTGGGTGCAGAGTTTCAGTTGGGGAAGATGAAAAAGATCTGGAGATGGCAGGTGATGGGTGCACAGCAATGTGAGGGTACTTAGTGCCATTGAACTGCATATTTTAAAATGGTTAAAATGGTAAATATGATGTATATCTCACCCTGATACAAAAGAAAAGAAAAAAGGAAGGAAAGAAAACAGTTGTGGAGCTGGGCAGGAGCTGTAGGGACCTCATGGCCAGGAGGCATGGTATGGGAGGAGCAGGCCCTGTGAGCCCCTGGTTTTGGGGGGCAAACTAGAGCTCTCCAGGAGGCACCATGGGCAAATGGAACTGCACACTCCAATGCAGAGGTCCTCAAACTTTTTCTTTTTTCACACTATTTTTTTCTTTTTGAGACAGAATCTCACTCTGTTGCCCAGGCTAGAGTGCTGTGGCGTCAGCCTAGCTCACAGCAACCTCAAACCCCTGGTCTCAAGCAATCCTCCTGCCTCAGCCTCCTGAGTAGCTGGGACTACAGGCATGCACCACCATCCCCGGCTAATTTTACATATATATATGTTGTTGTTGTTGTTGTTTTAGTTGGCCAATTAATTTCTTTCTACTTTTAGTAGAGGCGGGATCTCGCTCTTGCTCAGGCTGGTCTCAAACTCCTGAGCTCAAATGATCCACCCACCTGGCCTCCCAGAGTGCTAGGATTACAGGCGCGAGCAGGAGGCCAGTTCACTGTCACTCAGACCGTTGGAGGGCCGTTGGAGAGTGCAGTGCACATTCCACACATGCGCACTGTCGGCCCGGGACAAGTCTGCTGCTAGGCAGGACAGGCAGCGGGGCAAAAACACCCCTTGAGCCAGGTAAATGTCGGCAGGCCGCATGTGGCCCGTGGGCCATAGTTTGAGGATCCCTGCTCCAGTGAGTCAGGGGAGCATGGGGCACTGTGCTGGAGAGACAGGGTGGCACAGTGCAGTCCTGCCAGGTACTGTTCATGCAAGGAGGGATGAAACACTACACAATAATCTCTGCTCCTGTAAGAGAACACATATTTCCGTAAGCACACAGAAAAAGCTCTGGAAGCATACTCCTGACCGTGGTTGTCTTTGGGGAAAGACTTGAAACTGGTAGTAAGAAAGAACTTCAGCTTTACCTGGATGTTTGCATTTTTTAACACCAAGAATATACTTGGGGCTGGAGGTGGTGGCCTGCGCCTGTATTCCGAGCTCCTAGAGGAGGCTGAAGTGAAAGGACCCTGTGAGCCCGGGCATCCCTGGCCGGACAGTCTATTTTGTTTGACAACACCCACCAAAAGTGTAAGGTACTATCTTGGTTCAAGTTCTATTAATTTTCATTCACTTAAAAAAATGTCTCCCTCCACACATCACCTTGACACGTCCTTGGGGAAAACAGAACGTGGAGAATTGTTTCTGCCGCACTCCCGCACCCCACCCCACGCCAACACCCCGCATTCTGATGCTGAACACTGAGGAGCCTCCGGCCTGCTCAGCGCTGGGCCCGCCTGTCCCTGTGCAGACAAGCAGCTCATCCCATCCTCTGGGTCCTCTCTCATCTCGTTCTATGGGAAAAGTGTAGAACTAAAAAGTCTGAAGTCAAGGAAACTTCAGTTCTGGTTCGGCCACTTATTTAGAGTTAGTTGGCTTTTTATTTAAATCTCTGTCTCTCTTTCCTTGTTCAAAAAAAGGTATGATAATGGCTATCATACAGTTGTTGCAAAAACTTAAAAGAAATTACAGACATTTAAGATAATCTGCATGGAAAAAAATGGAAAAGGATATTTTGTTCTTTGGAAAATACTGAAGATTAGCTGCAAATGGGTGTAACACTTGTTTCTGCAACTAAGCTGTAAATTTATTCAGGATATTATCTGTCCATTGCGGCTCCTGCAAAGCTTTTCGGCTGGTCTTCATTGGTCATCCTGCTTTGGTAGCTATGAAAGCTTTATCCCAGCAGATGGCAGAAGAGAACTGAGTCAAGAAACAAAGAGCATGGGCATTTTAACATGCACTGCGAACTGGTTATAAAGCATCCACACCTTATTGTGCATTCGAAAATAGCTCTAGACATTAACTTCACAATCGTTACTGAACTTTCCTAATAAAGGTGGGTCTGGAAAGACAAGAGGGTAACCACTGTATCAAGAACACCATGTAGGCCGGGCGCGGTGGTTCATGCCTGTAATCCTAGCACTCTGGGAGACCGAGGCGGGCAGATTGCTCGAGGTCAAGAGTTCAAAACCAGCCTGAGCAAGAGCAAGACCCCGTCTCTACTATAAATAGAAAGAAATTAATTGGCCAACTAATATATATAGAAAAAAATTAGCCGGGCATGGTGGCGCATGCCTGTAGTCCCAGCCACTTGGGAGACTGAGGCAGGAGGATTTCTTGAGCCCAGGAGTTTGAGGTTGCTGTGAGCTAGGCTGACGCCACGGCACTCACTCTAGCCTGGGCAACAAAATAAGACTCTGTCTCAAAAAAAAAAAAAAAAAAAAAAAAAGAATGCCATGTCACTGAGACTCACTTATCAAGAGCAATCTTTACATGTCCTAGTTGTTCTAAGAAAAAAAAATAATAAAATAAAATAAAAAAAACAACATTCATTCCCTGAGCACCACTGTGATGCTAGAGGCACAAGGATGAATACAAAATATTCTCTGTTTCCCCAGGGAGTTCTCTAACTGAGATCAAATAAGGAGACAACAATTTGCATTTTCCTGGGCTGGCCTACAGTGACAGGGGTTGCCTGAATGAGTCCAGGCTGCCTGCCTCAGGGTCTTCTCAGCACGGCCACTTTTCTCCAGCCCCAGTCTCAAGTCCAGTTCATCATCTCTGGCCTGGGTTCCTGCAACAACCTCTTAAGAGAACCGCCTCTGCTCTCATCCACCTCCAGTTCGTTCTCACCGTATAGACCAGGTAATCTTTCCGAAATGCAAATATGATTATGTTGCACATCATCTTCTTAAAAGGATTGAATGGCTCTTCAGTGACCTCTCACCCATATCCGTCATCTTACTTATAAGGCTTTTTGTGATCTGATCCTTGTTTTTCTTCTCCTGCCTCATCTCACCGTCTCCTCCAACAATCAGCCCACAAAATATACTTTCAATTTCCCAAATGCTTTTTATCCCCTTCTGGTCTTTGCCCACATGGTTTTTCTCTCTGCCTAGACTACCTTAAAACTAAAACCCAGTCAGTCCCTCCCCCTTACCCATCCTCCTTAACATACTTAACTAGTATTTATCCTTTAGGTCTCAGATTAAATATTATTTCCTTTGGGAAACAATCCCTGACGGTACAAGGCTGGACTGAATAACCCTCCTGAGTGCTCCATAGCACACTCTACTTTCACCCCCCTGCGTTTACCATATTTCTTTATGATGGGCTTGCATATCTTCCCATGTCTACTGTAGTCTGTTTGAACACAAAGACTTCTTGTTCAACAGTGTATCCCCATTGCTTGGCATAGTCTTGGTACCACGCAGCACTCAATCAAAATTAATTGAATAAATGAATACATAAATCATAAAACACAATTGATACCATTTGAGAAATCATAAGACCCTTGAGGCATGAGGTCCCAGGAGAACAGGTCTTCCCGTGTATAGCAGCCATATTCCTTTTCATCAAGAAATTGTCAACCACGTACACACGACACAAGTTGTTTTATAATGCAAATATTCCTTGGATTTGGAGAGGGTCGCCTAGTCAATCTTTTCATCCTCAGCAAAGGAGTTCTGTAACTTAAAAAAAAAAAAAAAGGAGTTCTGTAAACAAACAAAATATATTTTATTTTTCACGCAGTGCCTTTCTGTGTCACCCCAGATGGTTAAAGTGCAAAGACTTTAATGAAGGGACTGCTCACAGAGTTCCAGGCATGGCTACAAACAAGGTGTGGTAGGGCATCCAGAGACCAGCAATGTTGAGAAGCTACTACCAGCCCCACCCCCTTCCAGAACCTATTGAGACAAGAGAAAGGAACACGGTTACTAGAGCCCAGTGAGAGCAGAAACCCTGGAGGAGGGGCTACTTGGCAGAGTTGTACTTAGGCTGCAGCTACAGCCAGATACACCATGCCAAAGCAGGAAGTAGCTGGGAAGAAATACCCTGACCTCTCTTTTAAGCCCACCCTCCAATCTCCCTGTGGTGTCATCCATTGGCTGAACCTGACAGCCAGCTGGCAGGGAGCCTGGAAGATGCAGTCCACAGGCTCAGCAGGGCAGGGCAGGGCGTGCATCTGGGAGGGGAGACGCGCAGAACAGCCAATATCTTACCCAAACCAGCATCCATGAAAGCATTCTTATGTCCTTGGAAAAATGTAATTAAAAAACATAAAATCTAGAGAATCTATATTTAAATTGAATTATTAAGTACTTTAAATGCACAGAAAAGCCCAGACATGAATATACAGACAATCAAGATGTAACACATTAACTTTTAGTCATGGTTGTTTCAGTGTTATTTTTTGTTGTTGTTTTTTAAGGAAAAAAAGTACAGATACAATTAAGATCACTACTGTCTCTCCCTCCCAACCTCCCCTTTCCCATCTTCTCTGGAGATAATCACTAAGTTGGTATGTATTCTTCCATACATAATTCTGCTACATATATTTGTATCCATAAACAATATACATTAAACATTGTTTTATGTCATTTTTAATTTACAAAGTAGTCCCATACTGAGATATCCTTTTGCATCTGATTTTATATACTCACTACAATGTTTCTGAGATTTGCTTATGTTGATATACATAGATCTGGTTAGTTTGTTTTGACTTCTAGGTGGTTTTCTATTATATGGATATTTACATTTCCTGTGATTGACAATATATTTAAATGTAGTTCCACCATGCTTATTTTGCATTATTTTATTTATGCTTTTTCTTTCCTGCCCTTTTTTGGGGAAGGGTACATATCATATTTTCTTTATTTCCTCTATTTCCCCTAACCATTTAGGAACTTACAGATTCTATTCTTTTATTATCTTAAAATTTTAACATGCATGGCTAGGTTAAAGAAAATATTAGGATATTAGAATGTTTGAATTCTGGATCATCCTCTCCTATCTTCCATGTTATCGTTGTCTAGAATTTTAGTTCCACCTAAAAAGGTAAATGTAATCATTTTAATGTTTATTTTTAGTCAAAGTTTATTTAGATTGGCTTACATGTTTACTAATTGCTTTGCTCAATTTTGCATCTTGCATCTCACTTTTTCTTTTGTACTCTATTTCCTTCTGCAGTGAGCTGTGATCACACCAGTGCACTCCAGCCTGGGCAACAGAGTGAGATCCACCTCTTAAAGAAAAAAAAAAAAAAAGTTTGGTAGAATTCAGCAGTGAAATCATTAGGTCCTGAACTTTTCTTTGATGGGATAATTTTTTATTATGGCTTTGATCTCATTACTTGTTATTTGTTTGTTGAAGTTTTCTATTTTTTCATGGTACAACCTTGTTAAGCTGTATGTGTCTAGGAATTTATCCTATATTTTTAGGTTCTCCAATTTGTTGACATATAGTTGTTTGTAATAGTCTCTAATGATTCTTTGTATTTCTGTGTTCTCAGTTGTTATGTCTCCTTTTTCATTTCTGATTTATTTGAGTCTTCTCTTTTTTTTTTTCTTAGTCTAGCTAAAGGTTCATCTTTTCAAAGAGCCAACTTTTCATTTTGTTGATCTTCTGTATTTTCTAGTGTCAATTTTATTTATTTATGTTCTGGTTTTTATTATGTCTTCCTTCTACTAATTTTGGGTTAGATTTGTTCTTGTTTTCTTAGTTCCTTGATGTGTATTGTTAGGTTGTTTATTTGAAGTAATTCTGCTATTTTGACATAGGCATTTATTACTATAAACTTCCCTCTTAATACTGCTTTTTCTGTATCCCTTGGTTTTGATATGTTGTATTTCCATTTTCATTTGTTTCAAGAACTTTTTAAATTTCCTTCTTAATTTCTTCATTGACTCATTGGTTATTTAGGAGCACGTTTAATTTCCATGTTTTAATGTATTTTCTGAGGTACCTCTTGTTATAGATTTCTAGTTTTATTCCATTGTGGTCAGAAAAGATACTTGATATGATTCCTACTTTTTAAAAATTTCTTAAGACTTGTTTTGTGCCCCAAGATATGGTCTATTCCGGCAAATGTTCCATGTGCTAATGAGAAGAATGTGTATTCTGCAGCAGTTGGGTGAAAAGTTCTGTAAATGTCAGTTAGGCTTATTTGGTCTAGTATGCAATTTAACTCCAAATGTTTGTTGAATTTCTGTCTGGATGATCTCTCCATTACTGATAGCAGGGTGTTAAAGTCCCCTACTTTCATCGTATTGTAGTCAATTTCTGCCTTTAGATATATTAATGTTTAGTTTATATACTTGGGAGCTCTAGTGTTCGGTGCATAGATATTTATAAATGTTACAACCTCTTGCTAGATTGACCTTTTTATCATTACATAATGACCTACTTTGTCTATTTTTACAGTGTTTGATCTGTATTTTATTTTATATAAGTACAGCTACTCCTGCTCTTTTTTGATTTCCAGTTGCATGGAGTATCTTTTTCCACCTCTTCATTTTTAGGCTATATGTGTCTTTATAGATGAAGTGGGTTTCTTGTAGGCAGCATGTATTTGAGTCTTGTTTCTTTATCCATTTGGCTACTCTATGCCTTTTAATTAGAGAATTAAGTCCATTTACATTCAGTGTTATTATTGATAAATAAGGACTAACTACTGCCATTTTGTTGCTTGTTTTCTGGTTGTTTTATAATTTCTCTCCTCCTTTTTTGCTGTCTTCGTGGTTACGAGATTTCCTCTAGTAGTATGTTTTAATTTGTAGACTTTTTATTTTTAGTAAATCTATTATAGGTTTTGCATTGTGTTTACCATGAAGCTTACCAAAAAAATCTTATAGCTATAACAAGTTATTTTTAAAATATGACACCTTGTCTTCAATCACAAAGAATAGAAACAAAATAATGCAAAATAAAAAATAAACCTCTACACTTAACTCCATCCCCCCCACACATATTTTGACTTTATGTTGTCTCTATTTAAATTTTGTTGTATTGCCTATCCCTTAACAGGTTGCTGTAGCTATCATTGTTTTTGATAGATTTGTCTTTTGGGCTTCATACTAGAGTTATGAGTGCATTCCACACCACAATTACAGTATTAGAGTGTTCTGGATTTATTTCTGCACTCAACCCTACTGTACCTTCAAATTGTTGCATGTTGGTATTTTTTTTATTTCTTTTAGGAACTCCCTTTAGCATTAAGAGGGGTTTGGTTGTGAAGAATTCTCTCAGCTTTTGTTTGTGAAAGACTTTATCTCTCCTTCATATTTGAAAGATCCCTTTGCTGTGTACAGTGTTTTTGAATGGCAGATTTTTTTCAGCACTTTGGAAATATTGTCCCACTCCCTCATGACCTGTATGGTTTCCATTGAGAAGCTCCAGATGAATGGGACCTCCTTTATAAGTCATTTGCTTCTTTTCTCTTGATGATTTTAGGATTTTCTCTTTGTTCTTGACTTTTGAGCATTTGATTATTATGTGCATCGAGATAGTTTTATTTGGATCAAACCTGTTTGATATTTTCTGACCTTCCTTACCTGGATTTTTATCTCTTTCTTAAGTTTGGAAAGTTTTCTGTTATGATCTCTTTGAATAAGATTCCTACCCCTTGCTCTTGCTCAGCTCCCTCTTGAACACCAATAATTCTTAAATTTGGTCTTTGAGGTAATTTTCTGTATCTCGTAAGCAATAGTCATTCCTTTTCATTCTTTTCTTTTTCTCTATGTATTTTCAAATAGCCTGTCTTCAAGTTCACTGATTCTTTTCTTTGCTTAATCCATTCTGCTGTTGAATGCTTCTAATGCAATTTTTCACTTTGGCAAATGTATTTCACAGTTCTAAGATTTCTGTTGATTTTTTTTATTATTTCTCTGATAAATTTCTGAATTAATTTTCTGTGTTATCTTGGAGGTCACTGAGTTTCCTTGAAACAGTTATTTTTAATTATTGGCCAGAGAATTCACATACTGTCATCTGATTAGGGTCAGTCACTGGTTCCTTGCTTTGCTTATTTTGGAAGGTCATGTTCCCTGTTTGCTGTTGTTTCTTGTGGATGTACACCCATGTCTTTGATTGAAGGATTATTTATTCCAGTCTACCCTGTTTGGCTTATTTTGGTTGTTAAAGGATATGTCTGCTTAGAGATTATTTGTAATTTACCTGTTGATTTTCTTTCTCTCCCCTCTACCCTCACTAACTTGCTGCCTCCTTTTGGGGACTAGATGGCACCTTAAGCCCAGGTTTGCCTTGGTTCTAGTAAACAACAGAAACTGCCCCAACCTGAATGGGGGAAGTATCAAAGGGGATATACTGGTAGCGTGGGAAAGCTGGCTAGCAGTTCATGCCCAACAGTCTTGTGGGAGGAAGTTCCCACGGCATGGTGCTGTTGAACAGTCACTCTGATTTGGCCACGTTACAAAGCAGACTTTCTAGGACTGAGGATGCTAGTCACAATTCCCTCTTTTATCTCTGGCTGTCTTCAGGGATATGTCTCAATTCAGGCACTCCTGGTACTTCTCAGGGGTTGAGGTAGAGTCAGGTCTCCTGCCAGGGAACCCAAGATGGTGAGGAAGCTGGCTGTCTGCCTCAATCTCACTTTTTCCAGTGTAGAAATCATGAGTCAATGGGAAATTTTCTGCACACTGGGTGTCAGGCAGATTGGAGGCCAGGGCATCACAGATACAGAAGTCCTATTCTCTTATAGTCTTCTCAGACTTTTTCACTTCTCTGTGACCCCAGGAACTGTCTCATCCTCATATTTGAGTTCTGGCATATTCCTGGTGGTGATCTCAGGACTGTATGTTTGGTTTTAGGTTTCTTTGTGGGGGAGGGGGTAGTGAAGCCAGATTACTTTTACACTACCATTTTGGAGCCAGAAGTCCCACACATATAA